AATTAAACAAGAACGGTTTTTCTTTATGTTATTAGAATCCAAAAAATTACAACATATTTATCGATAGTTAGTAAATCTAATATATCAAATCTTGATAAATTTATTAGATTATCCAATCCTAATAAAACTCCTCTCTCCAATGTCCCAAACCCTCCCGCAGGCTATGCCCCTCCGCCTCTCCCAACCTATTATTCGACCCTGACAACTAAACAGTAGATACCACTGAAGTGACCCATTTACTTTTGGTAGGGAGTACATCTTTACCCAGAAACAAAATCATTGGATATTATCCACATTAAAGATTGCAAGATTTCATTGGTCCTACTGACTTATATGTATAATGAATATGAGTCATTCATTATTCCAAGCACTCTCTCCCTCAAATAAAATATGAAGAAGAAAAATGCACGTGTTCGGCACATGCATCTTTCTTTTTTCTTTTCCTTCCTTTGCCCAGTTATCCACCTCAAATGAGTGGCACATTATCATTTTTAGTCCAAAATATAACGGATTTTTTTTTTTCGTGAAATCAATCAGTACATTTTTTTTTTCTTCAAAGCCACCCGGTGGATGGAGGGTTTGGCAAGACCCCTACCTGTATATATAATTGAGAAAATTAGTAGGAAAACTATAAAGGAAATGAGATTCCATTTAGGGAAGAAATCAAATTGAGCAAATATTTTAATTGAGAACCAAGCATTCATAACACAAAAACAGAACCATAGACTGATTTGATGAAGCACATTCAATAGAGTTCCTGTAATAGTCAAAATTAGATTGGAAATATTGAATCCTAAACAAAAATTTCTTCAAAGCTACAACGTCTATTTGCAGAAAAACAGTAACAAAAGCAAAAAAAGTATAAGGCTTACTTGTGCTCAATGGCATATTTCAATGCTTATCAACTTGCTTATTCCAAAGTAGTGTTTTGGTTTTTTCTACAAGTGTTGGGGCTTACGCTAATTACTCTCTCGAGGTCAGATACTGGCTATAGTAGCTCGAGTAGATTTAGAACATTACTGTCTCTACGAGATTGAAAAGATAGTTTGAGAAAACGAAAGAGAGCAAATATGGTTTTGCAATAAGAAAATACTTTGGGAAAACTGGATAATAAGAAAGATAAAAATGACGACGTTGCTATGTTCATTAAATGTACCCAATATGACGTCGTTCCATAGACTTTTTTTTCCCCTCTTTTCACCAATCTTAAACGATGGATAAGTCTCTAAATTAGAAGGTAGAGATAATATTTAAGTTCAATTTTATTTTGGGCCCTTCCTTTAGAGATTCATCCAAGTAATTGGCTAAAATATTTAGGATGAGAAGTTTACATGCAATCAAGAATAATTAGCCAGAGAGGTCCAATTATATCTTTGCTCATAAGAAGTTAAAATTAAATAAATAAAAGTAAACTGAATTATTTAAAAAAAAAAAAAATTGGCCAGAACCCCAATTTCATGGTGGATTGGGTTGATAAAGAGAAGAATACTAGTCCAGTAGTTTTTGATTCATGAATTACATGAATATGACATGATCGTTACAAGACACGCTTTGGTCAATATTCTAAACCAGTTTTAGACCTTCCCTTCTCATCTTTTTTCCGTTGCTAAACAAATTTTTTGCCCTTTTTCACTTGAATTTCGATTTTAGACGTTTTTGAGAATTGGCGTAAGAATTGTTAGTCCTTCTTTACCCCAAATATTTACGATATAATTAATATTATTAGCATTTATTAAGTATAAAAATCATTAACAACAAAAATTAATGAAACACCAATTACATTTAGCTGTCCATTATTTGTGGAGTCATCAATGTAGGATTTATGTAATCTGATGAAAACATCATGGTGGCTCCTAATGGAATAAATATTCAATGTAGGGATTATATCACGTTGTATCACATCTAGAAAAGAGATAAAGTGAACCCCACTTTTTTAAATATAGTGGTTGTTATTTATAATGGATGGAGAATTTTGTCGGTCGGGTTTTGGTTGCCTCTGTGTTCCCTTATTACTAAATGATGAATATATTTTATGACCGTTACATTGAATATCTCTTCCTCTTAGTCGCAATGGAAAATTGTTCATCTTTCTTTAATGAGCAATGTTATTTGGACATAATTTATTTACCTAATTTGTTGACCTAACTTATTACAACCATTAGATTGATTGTGGGCCCCATAAAATATTAGAACCTAGTATTAATCTAATTGTTATAATAAAATTATATTATTAGGTCAACAAATTAAATCAAATTTTTAGGTCTAAATATTATTATCCTTTTTCAACACGTTAATGACATGGACAAAGCTCAAATATGCTCGGCCAATTAGATCACCTAACTCCACGGGGTAGTTCAAGTGATAACAAGAATGAGTTATAAATTCAGACGTCCTAAATTCGAATTTTGCTAACTCTCTGAAGTTAGGTCATGAGGAATTTATTGCACATGAATATTTTAATTTCAGCATGGATATTCTGTTTTTGAGTGAAATAGAGAAAAAATTAGTTAAAATACGCATAAAGTAACTCGAACATCTCAACCGTTGAATTAAAAAAATATATGGATGGAAAGTAGTGGAAAGTTAGGAACTTTTTGTTACTGATGCAAATTTATTATTTCTGTTTTTTTTTTATTAAGAACTTTCTTTCTTTGGCAGTAAGTTGTCATGTTACTCTTTTTCCTTTTCTCATGGAAACTTCAGTTCTGTCTTTTGAACATCTTCCAAAAAGTGGTACTTGTTCATCCTCTCCCTTGGTCATTAGACATTTGATTTTTAATTGCAAATATTGAATAGCAATAATTAAACCTACCATTTTTTTCTTAAAAAAAATACAATAACTGCTTGACAGCTCATGCCGACCGTTGGATTGGTGAACCCCACTAGGGTATATTAATGTCTAATGATTATAGTTGCACTAAATGAAAGAAGTTAATAAGAAAATTTGATAAGAACAATATTGTTGTCTACACATACCTTAGTCACCATTTGACCAATATTAAATGGCTTCCCCATTAATGGGATGAAAAATATTAAATAGACTTAAAAAATTAATTTAAAATTTTAATTTGACGAATTATGAGTAAATATTAAATACAACGGTGATATCATGTCAGCAATACTGATGTTGTATCATAAATCGATAATAAAACAATAATACTACACTGGCCAAAATTAGAGATCAAAAAGAGTGACCAAATGACATGGCGACTGACATGGAAGGCTGATTAGTTTTCACGTCCATTGTCATGTCATTTAGTCACTCTTTTTGGTCTATAATTTTGGTCAGTGTAGCATTATTAGACCAAAATTATGAACCAAAAAGAGTGACCAAATGATACGGCGATTGATCAAAATCAGTCTTAAATGTCAGCCGTCATATCATATGGTCACTCTTTTTGGTCCCTAATTTTGGTCAATGTAACATTATTGATAATAAAATATCAAGTGGGTAAGATGAATTTCACTTGAATAATTATTTGCTTACATGGAGGCAGAGTAAGTACTCATTTGCTTATATGGAGTGTTGATTATTAATTATAGTGGGACTCATTTACTTATTTGTTTTGATATTATTAGTTGATAATATCACATTAGCGTTGTCACGTGGTATTATGTGATATTACCATTGTAATGAATCTTTTCTCGATGAATCACTATTATTGAGTAAGTAGTATGTTTCAATAAATACTAAAATTCATAATTAAATTAATAACAAATATAATAATCACGTCACATAGTGAGATTTTTAAGTAAGTTTTTCAATTATGTAGAATTGCTCGTATGAGATTACAAAACCTACAAGCTTCTAATAAATCCTATATAAATCACTTAACTTGAAAGCCCTGAATCTCTCTCTCTTGTCTCTCTCTCTCTCTCTTTCTCTCTCTCTCTCCACATAGTAACATCACAATGGTTGGGAATGCCTGGCACTTGCGATATAGAAACATGCATCGGCATAAGGATATGAGAGGAAGGCCAAACAGGCCTGCCCAGTTTTCATGCCGGCTGTGTAACCAGGTGTTCGTGGGGGCTCATGCCCTTGTAACCCACTATGAGTCTCACTTGATACAAGATGAGATCCATTCAACAAGGCAAAATGATATAATTATAAACCCACCCCAAATTACTTTCCAATCACAAAACGGGCCACAAGAAATCTGGGTCTCTCGCCAAAATGGTCGTCTGCCACTGCAGCATGTGGCTAGAAACCCTACTTTGGGTGGTGCCACCCAAGAAATAGTTGCTACTCCTCCGCCGCGACCACCGGCCTTCCCACCGGTGGGACTTAGATTTGGCCATTTGGGACTTGCAAACCCACCACCACAGTGGCAAACCGTGATAGGGGAAAACCATAGATTCCGGCTGCAGCCACCTCGACTGTCTTCACCGCCGTTGGTGGTTGCACCGGTGACAAGGAACCATGCCCTTGGACCACATCCTGTGCCGTCTTTCCGACAAGCTGATCGGACAGTGATGACTGAGCCTTCTAGTGAATGCACAAAGCCATTTATCAATCTATTGGATAAACCAATCAAAGAGGTGTTTGAGATTGTTGACAGTGATGATGAGAGCTTGAGCAGCAAATCTGATAGCAAGAAGCTTGATTTATCCTTGAAGCTTTAGGACTAAGAAGATGTTATCTGTTTTTTCTTTATTTCTTATGTGTTGTTTCATTGTTTTTGGTTTACATCTTGCATGCAACAGATTGTTCTCGTTGCTCTATATGCAAGTATGACAGCAAGATGCAATTTGTAAGAATTTTTCTTTAGTATAATATATCTCATTGCAACCGTAAGATTTTAGTGATTAATATCTTATGATACTGAGTTTGAATTTAGAAGAAGACACGTCAACTCGTGTTGTTTGACAGTTGTACACATTCTCTATGCAACAGTTTTAAATTTGATTACGTGTAATTGAGATAATTTTTGCTATATAAAAATAACTGCATATCCGTATAACTGTCAAACATCACGTGTGTAATTGAGATGATTCTCACTATAAAAAGAAAACCGCATCCCAAAATTAGTATATACGTACATCATTATTGCAATATAGTTTTTACATACATTTCGGTGGTTAATGCCTCTACTTAAGAAGAGATAATGGCATCAATCAATGTGCTGACAAAACTCTCTGAATTCAAAATTGTCCCATCGTATATCATTGCCATGAAATCATGGAAAAGTCTATGGTACCGAACAGGTTTTTCTGTATCGTACCACGTCGTTTGTGGTGGCTAAGGCGGTTTTGTTATGGCCATGATGAATAAAACAATGGCAGCCGAAAAACGGTTGTAAATCCACCTTAAATTGTGGTATCGGCGATTAAAAAATGGTGATAAATTTACTTTAAAACGTGGTAACGAGGGGCGGAGTCACATATCTTCTTCGGTAAGGATAATTTAAACTATATTAATATTAAAATATAAAATATTCACAAAAATATAATTTTATTAATAAAACACCAGTTAAAGATGCAGTTCATATATTTGAGCGATAAACAAAATAGCCAAAAAAAAAAATTATTATAGATTTATCTATAAGACATAATAAAAAAATTTTGAACCGTAAAATTGAGTTCAATCATATATTAAATTTTAAGAAATTTTTTTATAACTAATTCAAAAATTAATTTGTTCAATCACAAACCTAATATTCATTATTAAATTTTATCAAACAATCGAAACTAACTTACACTATAATTATTTTAGTAAATTAAACCTAGGTATATGAAGTACTTAATTTATCACAATAAAACTATTCAAACTACCAAATTAAAATAATTTAGTTTAATTATAATGGAAGATTACAAGTCTCAATTCCAATTCTATGAATAAAAATAAAATAAATGAGACGACTACAAGTCTTAATTCTAATTTAACATATAAAAATAAAATACTAGAGAAGACTACAAACCCAAATATCAATTAAATATATGAAAAAATAAATCATAGAAGAAGACTACAAGCCCTAATTTTATTTTAACATAGAAAAATAAATATAAGATTACAAATTCTAGTTTCAATTCAATACATACAAAATAAAATATAAGAGATGATTACAAGCCTCAATTTTATATTTTCAATTCAACAAGTAACAAATAAAATACAACAGAAAGTTATAGGCACTAATTTCAGTTCAACATTTAAAAAATAAACCACAAAAGGGGACTATAAACCTTAATTTTCAATTCTAACATATAAACATAAAACAAAAAGAGAATTATAAGCCCTAAATTTAGTTTGATGTATAAACAAAAAACAAATAAGATGGCTAACATATTTCGTAACATATTAGTTAATATTTAAATGCCCAAATTTTTAATATCATATTCTTTTGATATTTACAAGTGAGACTCATATATTTTTCAAAATAACATAACTATCCTTAAATCTTTTAAAAAAATTTTAGCGGGGGCAAATATCTAATAAATTCTAAATTTTTTAAAATCATACTTAGTCTCCAAAAATATTTAAAATTCCAATTGGGGCAGCTGCCCCCATTGCCCCCATTGTGGATTCGCCACTGGTGGTAATCTCGTCTCACATCTAGGTTATAATTTTACCTTTATTATTTGTAACTTAACCTTAAATAATTATAATTTCACAATCAAATGCAGTAACCTAATCTTAAATAGTTATAATCTTACTTTTAAAGATAGTAATTTTATTTTTAATTGTTGTAACCTCACTCTCAAAGTTGTAACCTTACATTTAATAGTTATGATTGATAATGATTAATTAACATCGATTCCAATGACAATTTTTTTTCTATTCAACTCAATTAGGATCTATCATGATTAATTAAGATCGATCCTAAAGCCAAATTATTAGTATTTTTTTTTTGGAATTCCACTCAATTAAGATCTATCATGATTATTCAGGATCAATTCTATTGCCAATTTTTTTTTTTGCTATTCCACACAATTAAGATCTATCATGATTATCTAGGATCTATCCAAATGCCTAATTATTATTATTATTATTATTTTTGCGATTCCACTCAATTAAGATCGATCCCAATACCAAATTATTATTTGTTACATTCAATTGACATGTAATTTTATGAAATTTTAGGTTAATTTTATGAATTTTAAATTTATAATTTTGAATGTTAATTTAATACAATTGAATGTCAATTTAATGTTATTTTTGATGAATTGAGTGTTAGTTGGATAAAATAAAAAATAGCATTAATTTTTAATTCATAAAATTAACATTAAAAAATTAATAATTTTAAAATTAACATTCAAAATTATAAATTTAAAATTCATAAAATTAACATTAATTTAAAATTCATAAAATTAACATTAATTCATAAAATGGTAATTAATTTTATGAAATTACATGTCAATTTAAAAATAACATTAACTTTTAAATTAACATAAAATTAAATTCATTTTTAAAAGTTTATTTTATTTTTTATTTTTTATTTTATCCAATTAACACTCAATTTATCAAAAATAGCATTAAATTAACATTCAATTGTATTAAATTAACATTCGAAATTATAATTTGATAGTGGGATAGATCCTAGATAATCATGATAGATCTTAATTGAGTGGAATAGGAAAAAAAAAAAATTTGGCATTGGGATAGTTCCTAAATAATCATGATAGATCTTAATTGAGTGAAATTCCAAAAAAAAAAAAATACTAATAATGTTGGCTTTAGGATCGATCTTAATTGAGTTGAATAGCAAAAAAAAAAATTTGGCACTGGGATCGATCTTAATTAATCATGATCGATCATGACTATTAAATGTAAGGTTACTACTTCGAAAGTGAGGTTACAACAATTAAAAGTAAAATTACTATCTTTAAAAGTAAGGTTATAACTATTTAAGATTAGGTTACTACCTTTGATTGTGAAATTATAAATATTTAATGTTAAGTTACATGTAATAAAGGTAAAATTATCACCTAAATGTGAGATGAGGTTACCACATCTTAAGGTGAATTTACTACCATTTTTCAACCGCCGTTTTTTTTATTCACCATGGCCCACCACAAACCAGGCGGTACGGTACCGAAAAACCATTATTCAGTACCATAGACTCTCCATTCATCGTATAGATTTCACATACAGTTTGCCCGTTATACTGTCACTACTTAATCAATGTGCTGACACATTTTAATTTAGATTTAAAACTGTCACATTCTTTATGTATCAAATCTAAAATACGCGATGATTCTCATTATATAAAAAATATATCATACCGAAATTAAGGTGTATGGCAGTCATGTAGATTTCACCCGCATTTCGCCTACCTTTACTTAAATAGCGATAATGACATCAGTCAACGTGTAATAAGTTTTGTGAATACAACACAAAATGAAATTAAGCGTCACATTAATATAACTATCCAATATTTAGAAAACACCATGCAAACTCTTTAATATAATTGAGATGATTCTTGTTATTAAAAACAAAACCTAATCCCACTTAAGAATAGACAATGACATCAATCAATGTGCTGACGCATGTGCTTTAGATTTAAAACTTGTCACGTTTTGTATTAATGTTGTCATATAGATTTCACATATATTTCGCTTGTTACTGCAAAAAAGAGATAATGACATCATTCAATGCATAGACGCAAAGACTTTAAATTTAAAATTTTCATGCTCTTTATGTAACAATTATAAATCTAAAATATGTGTAATTAAGATAATCATCAATCAAAAGAAAGAAAAAAAAAAGCAACGATAATCACGATTAATTTCAAACAAAGGAATAAATAATGCACCCGCATGAGTAGCCTAGTAGTGTAGGATTGACTTGGAGTAAATCATAAATTTGAACATTATGGGTTTAACCCTCGATAGTGACTCTCTGATTGAACTGATACTTGTGATTAATGGTTGGTGGATAATTGTCAGTATTTGGAGTCTACTCTGTACGTGTTTGTCCAATAATCCAATGTCATGTGGCTCTGAATTATATGAATCTTCTTGTCAAAAACAATGGAAGAAAGACACACCCATGTATCTCCTTGTTTTAACCAAACTCATCAAATAGGATCTTCCTACTTTGTTTAATCAGAAAATTAGAAGCATTAATGGGTAATGAGCGGTCTATAATGTGGCTTCAACTTGAATCTCTATTTCTTAGCTTCATTCCCATTAATATCTCAGCAAGAATTATGGGTACCCACATAATGTTTTCCTTCTCTCTCTCCATCCCACAGATATCTATATTTCCTATGAGAAAATCCTTAGATCTGTCACAGGAAACATTCTCCTCTAACAGAGAAACGAGAAACTAGGTTTTTCATTCTATGATCTTGTCATTCATCAAGTTGGATGGCTTTTTTTTTTTTTTTTAAGTTTTTGGTAAAGCATAGAGTTGAATAGAATTTATTATTTTTTTTTCTAGAAATTGTAGGAACCATGGTACTAGATGAGATGAAAAGGCAGGCATCTTCTTTTCTACGTGAGAAATACAACAATGCAAGGCTGGCCTTGGCCGATGTTACTCAAGCCGAATTGTAAGTATTTTCACACAATATTCTTGGTTTCAAAATGAGAAATTTTAGCAATTTTAAATTTATTTTCACATTCATCGTCTCTTTTAAGGTTGATCGAGGAAGCAACAAATGAGGAACCATGTAGCCCTGATGCTAAAACAATGACCAAAATAGCTGAAGCATCATTTGACATAGATGATTACTGGAGAATTGTGGAAGTCCTCCACAGAAGGTAATTTTGATCCAAATCTGCCTTCGTTTTGTATTCATAAATAGAAATAATAGAATATTTTTACACGAAGAATTTGAATATTCAAATGATTTGTCTAGTGTTCGAAAACAAATGCAGGTTTTACAGCATTGATTGGAAGAGATGGAGGCAATCCCACAAATCCATGGTACTGCTTGATTTCTTACTTACTCATGGTCCTGCAGACTTTGCCGAAGAATTTCAATTAGATATCAATGTCATTCAAGAGCTTGGAACATTTAAGCACAAAGATGAAAATGGGTAAAATGTTGTTTGATAATGCTTTTTTTGAGTAATTTTTAGATTAGTTTTTGCTTTATATTATTTATTTTTCTCTGTTAAGATTCGCTGTCATATCTAAGCTTAATCGCATGTATGTAATTGTAGATATATATGTGCATATATGATTGGAATCTTTGCGTACTACAATGCACGTGGATTACTTTTGTAAAATAGTAATCAATTTTAATAATGGGCTTTTTGACGAAATTGTTTTTTTTTTAAACAAAACTACCACAAAATATTACTATTAAAGGATACGTACTCCCTCATGTTTGGATACATTAAATTTATGGGTTAATAGTAATTTTTGTATTTTTGTCAATTTAGTTCTTATTGTATCAATTTGATTCATAAAATATTCAATTTATCTCACGTTTGTCCCTACATAAACGGACTACTAAGTTTATAATTGAATGATCACCTGTTAGACACGTGATACCGTCTAAAAAAATGATATGTGATCACTTCCATTAAAAAAAATTGACATTCCGTCTATATAGAGATCAAAGTGACATGAATTAAATATTTTATGGAGCAAATTGATAAAATTAATACAATGAAAACTAAATTAATAAAAAATATATATTTTTTATACATTAGAGATGAAAAGTGCTATTAATCATAAGTTCATTAATGCTCTTTTGATTTATGTTCTCACTAGATATTGTTCTTCATTTTAGGTTCGACTGGGGTCTTTGCATGCAAAAAAAATCAGAAAGGATACTAGAGCTTTTAAAGGGAGGGGAAACCCTTAGGCAAGCGCGTTTCAAAGCTCTCAAAATCACAAGTGAAATCCAAGGATTTGGGAATCCATTACTCTCTCCTTCATCAACATCATCGTCCTCTGGGACGTCGAGATTCTCAGCATCATCATCCTTTGGCTCATATTCTACAACAAGTGCTAGCTCTGCATGGAGCGAAATAGATCATGAACTAAACAAAAATAAACTATCAACACCCACAAAAGAAGTCATTGAAACTTATTCACAAGGAGGAATCAGAAGTGAAAAGCTTGATACTTCACCAAATACTAGCCAGTATGTTGAAGGGTCACACCTATTGGATTGTCCTCCTATTGAAGAAGATGATGGTTTACTTGATGTTGAAGAAGAAGAAGAAGAAAATGAGGAAATGGAAAAGCCAGAAAGTTTTATAAGTGGGATATGCTCAAAGCTTGGTTTTAGTCCATCAAGATGTGATGATGGGAAAGTTTCCTATAGAAGTCTTTCTGATGTTGGCAAGACAATGAAGAAAAAGATGGATCGCCAACATTCTATGAGATAATAAATTATAAGGTTACACGAGAAACATGTATATAAGATTCTAAACTCGTCCTTACGAGGTTTGGGGAGGCAATTTGGAAAATATTTTTTTTCCAAAATAATCTAGCATCACACTTACATTTGTGCCCATGTGAATCTCCAATTGTACAATAAAGAAAGAAGGTCAACTTTCACATATAATCCATAAGCTATATAAGGGTTGGGAGGCCATTTTGGAACAACAATGTTACTTGTACCTAATTTAGGGACGTAATGTATTATTGTTCCCAAATAGCATTTGGGGGCCATTATGTTCCTTGTTCTTTGGATTCACGGTGGTCTTCATTCAATGCTATAATCCACCGGTAAACCATTAGACATATGCATTAGAACGTCAAATTAAATTCCAATAGTGTTGTTCTTTTTTAAAACATGTTTTCTTTTGGGTGGCAGATGGGGTGCCTCAAAAAAGACAAGCTGCAAATCATAAAAATGTCGTATTTAGTATATATTACGTCCTACCTATTGAGAGAAGTAAATAGTAAGCAGTTTTTATTTTTTGTTTTATAAAGGTGAGATTCTCGACTCAGAAGGTATGTTGGATGGGTGGATGGAATTTTTTGATGCATTTCAAGGTGAATATAATTTCATTGATGTCTATATAACAAGTTGAATGAAACAAGAGATGGTATATATCAAAATTAAATCAGTCAAACCGAATGACTAAGCAAGAAATGGTGCTTCTGCTCATTCTAGTTAAAGCCTCCTTTGCTAAGTACTCAGCAGCTTCTTGTGAGTCGTCTATGTGCCTGATCAGGTTCACAGCCTCTTGATGCTTCATCACCTGTTTATATCACAAAACAAGAAATAGATTGAACCTTATCGTATCAGATGAAGAACATATAGTGCACTTCTACGAGTCATGCTCACAATTGTCGAAACTAAGAATGGGAGACATGAATGGGCACTAGGTTGAATTAGGGTTGCAAATGAAACTTAGAAGTTCATGAACATCTTGGGATCAATATGTATAAAGAATAGTTTATTTATCAAATGAACTGAGTTTGAGATCAATTTTAGAGTTCATTCAATAAACAAGTCGATCCCAAGTGATTTCTCTTGTTAGCCTATATATAGATATGTGTGTGTGTGAATAAACAAGCTAATTCGTTTAATCTTAAGCCCGTGTTTAAGCTCGAACACAAGCTCAGGCTTGGATCATTTGGTTAGATGAATCGAGTTTAACTTTAGACAAAAAGTTAAGCCTCAAGCTTGAATAAGATGTTTGAAATTCGTCAAAGTTCCGGATGGATCTTGAATACTTCATTGTAAACAAACTACTCAAGCTCGGTTCAATTCATTTGCATTCTTAGTTTGAACCATAACTCCTCTCCCCCTACGCCAGATCTCGAACCCTAAGTACTAGTTGGCCTTCGTGCCCGGGTAGAATGAAAGAGGCTGAGTGATGATAAATTGATAATAAGTATAGTTCTTTGAAGTGTTTTATTACCTCCCATATGCCTGTACTTGCCAAGATGAGAAATTCAGTATCTTGATCAATTCTGTCAGATCCAACAAGAACTTCTGAGCTTTTAGAGGGCTTGGTTCCTGCAGCACATCCGGATAATAAACGTACTTTAGGCAAAAATCATAATAGAATTAAAAAAAAATGTAATTACCGTTGGGATGAATAGACTAGATATAAATCTAACTTTTGACGTGCAAAGTGACTATCACTATATTCAAACTTAAACTTTACAGCCGTCAACCCAACACATATACCACTGCACCAGACAATGATCCCTGAAATCCTCACAACTCTTTAAAAATTGTTGGGCTTTTTGTAGGAGTAAGATATACAGGATTGTCTGGGGGCACAAGGACTAAAGCTCTAGGAAATAAGATACAGTTTTCAGAATTTGAGGGTCATGTAAAAAAAGGGTAAAATATATTTTTGGTTACCAATTATGTGTTTTGTGTCAGTTTAGTTCCTAATCTTTTAATTTTGTCAACTTAGTCTCTCAGTTTATCAATTTATGTCATTTTAATCCAATAAAAAACGGCCATTTGAATTGACCAACGAAAATGTTCAAGTGACCACACTTGAAGGGTCATTTTGGTTCCTCAAATTTGTAACTTGTATCATTTTGGTCTTTCACATTTATAGTTTGTATCACTTTAATCCCTAAAGTTTTCAAAGAATACGTGTCAAGTGTGATCACGTGATGATCTCCATTAGTAATTCTAATTTCCTTTTTTTTTAAAACCAAAGTGACATAAATTGAAAAGTTGAGATACCAAATTGATAAAATTAAAAGATTGAAAATCAAACTGACACAAAGTGTATAGTTTGGGATCAAAAATGTATTTTACCTAAAAATAAAACTAAAAACAACTTTGGCATATAAAAGTGTAATTTCTAAAACTTGAGGGCCCATGGCCTCCCTAGGCCACAAAATTGGCTCTGTCATTGTCTGGGTAGAATAGGTCAAGAAATAGAAACTACTTTCACAAAATTTAGACAAAGGGTTGAGTTATTATCTAGTTTGGTGTTCATTAATCAAGGTCCAAAGGAGGGATGAATTGGGTACCGACTTAAAGACGTAGATACACATCCCATCTTTAATATTATGTAAACAAACTAATTGCTATCAAATTCAAATCTACAAATACAAAGTTGTTGACCCGATACTTTTACCACTGCATCAGACAATAACCCTTATCTTTAGTAAAATTTAGAGGTATTGATCAAATTTCATGCACAAATTGGAGGAAAAAGAGTGACGCACCTTGAATGAATCTACGTGACCAATGTCGCTTTGTGATTTGCTGGTCACTTGTGGTGATTTGATGAGCCTCACCATCTCTGCAAACAACAGCTCGGTAGTCACCCATGGAAGCTATCACAAGCTTTTCTCCATTGATAACAATGGCGGATGCTGAACCCACTTTCCATAACTCTTCTGGCTTCTGTGTTTCCCTGATTTTTGCTGTTGCACCAATGTATGCCTTTCTCATTGTTTCTTTGCTCCTCTTCCTCATTTGAGACTGCCAGACATTGTGTAACATTCAAGATAATGAACATGGTCTTCCCCCCTAAGTTTCTAAAATTACTTTTTAAGTCCCTTGATTTTAAGAAATTTGCCCCCCCCCCCAAAATAAATCCCTTATGTTTTTTGTTGTTCTTTGATGATAGGCCAACGATTCCTTGTTATTGCAAGAATAGTTTTGTTTGGCATATGGCATGATTGTCATGCAGTGAGTTGCATTTCATCTAATACATTTTGTCTCAATTTCTCGCAATACTAGAATTACTACAATGAGTTTGTTTACAACGAAATTAAATAAGTAATTTTTAAGGATTTTGGAGTAAAATAAGTCATGTTTATTTGGTCTTTTTTACCAGTTTATGCAACAGATTTTTTAACCCAAAAAGATTTATTTAGGTTAATTTAAGAAGTTAATTTTATGAGTTTTTTTTCGACTTTTTAGAGTTTTGTAGGAGATTTTACATAATTTTTTAGCTTATTATATTCAAAAAATATTATTATAGACGTAAAAAAAATTTAAATTCATATTTTGAGAACTATTATGCATAATCTATACATATATGTAATTATTCTTTTATTTTGACACAAAAAAGCTAAAAAAAACTAGACAATCACTCCAAATAGACTTTGTCAACTTTTCCAATTTTTTAAAGAAACAATTTTGGGGCACCTTTTAACTCTTATTTTTTTACAAAAATTTTTAAACCATAGCTCTTCGCCTAAAAAATTCAACTTCAAACCGGATCAATCAATCCAAGTTGCTTCAACTTTATGTAGATGGGTACACCGTTAATACATAGTAGATTTTGTAGCTTTCAAGGAAAGTTAATACATAGTAGATTTTGTAGCTTTCAAGGAAAGGTAATAACGTTTAGACCCAATTTGTTGACATATTGCACTGTTTCGTAAAATTTAAAAGTTTGTCTAAATATTGGATCAAATTTACCATTAATTCAACGTCAATAATCGATCTGGTCAAAAATTTGGTTGATATACTCCAAGTAGGATTATTTACAAAAAGAATTATAAAAAAATGAATTAGAGAAGATCTATATCCGTTAATGATGCACATTTTAACAGTGATTATATCGATGTAACTATAGGAAATAAAACAAGTAAAAGTCTCGTTTACCTCTTTAAGCTTCTTATCCAATAAATGTGATTGCATGTACTTGGTAATTCTGTCACCAATTCGAGCATCGAAAACTCCAAAAAACCACACTTCATGCTCTTCAATTTGCTCTCTCTGTACCACAACTGAGTCCGAGTCCAACTCACTTGACTCACCTTTCAGTGACCTATCCTCCACAACATAATACCCATGAGAAATGGGCAGCATCCATGAAGGCTTCTTTCGAATGATCTCAGCCTCTCTTTTCTTGTTCCCACCACCACCTATAAGGAATCGTCTTAGCCGAAAGACCTGCCCAGTTCAGTAAAATAAGTCAAGCTAGCAACAAATTAATTAATGAGTAAATTACACATACGACCCTCAAACTATGACATTTAAATTAATTAAGCTCTTAAAATTTTTTATTTTTATTTTTTATTAATTGAGCCTATAAACTCTCTAATTATGTCAATTGAGTCATTCTATCTTCCTCCGCTAGAATGTGTCTCTCATATGACTATATAACATAAAAAAACAAAAGAACTCAATTGATACAATTAAAAAATTCAAAAATTCAATTGACATAAAAAAAAATTAGAAATTTAATTGACATAAAGATCGTATGTTTAGTTTACTCTAACTATTTGTGTCACGCTCGTTAGAAGTGTTTCAATGATGTATATTTGTTTATACTCGTGCATGTGTAATACTAAACTTTGGATGCACAAATCAGTAGCAAATTACACGCATTGGGTCAACCAGAGTCAGACTAGCCAATCGAGACTCCCTTTATGGGCCAATAAGAAATATCAGACCAAAGACAGAAAGCTCAATAAAGCCGAAAGAATCTTTCACAAAGGATGGCAAAGGAGTACACGAAGGCAAGTTTCAAAGCTCAACTAAACAGACGAAGACTTCCCAATCAACCCCATGTCATCCGAGATATCCTTATAGGTGAAAACTACAGTATTTTCTCGAGAATGGCTCATCAACAACTATTCAAAGAAGATGAACATATATGTATATCTCTATACCTTACAATACATTTCAATAAGTTTGCATGCCTTACAATACAGTTCATTGTTTTCTTACAAACTAGCATTTCAGAAATAGAATTTTATACAAGGGCAAGGGCCTAAAGTCTCGAGAGGCAAGGTCTCCAAGCCCATAAAAAAAATAAAGGGCATCTACTCAAAAAAATAAAAAAGAAAAAGCGAGTTTCTCCTTGAAATTGGATTAATGGCTCGTTAGAAATGATCTATCGCAAGTACAGAAACCATTATTGAAAACTTCCTATGGTCCAAACACCTTAAGATGTACATGCTTGGTCGGTGTGTGTGTGTGTGTGTGAGAGAGAGAGAGAGAGAGAGAGAGAGAGAGGGAAGGCTACCTTGAGCTTCAGGCGAAGATTCTTGAATCCCATGTCTATGCTGTAAGCTGATTGGATACCCAAAATAAGTTCCTATAAATATCCGCCCTTTTTTCAGACAAAAATGATTTCAAATGTATTAATAGGAGGGTATTCAGAGCTTCTCGAAAGTCTAAAGTCGTCTTTTGTATATAGTCAAAGAGAATTGACACAAAGCCAAACCCCATAAGATTTTTGATAAGCATATAGATAATATGTATCTGTTCTGTACTCCGTCAATTTGGTTTTGTGGGATTTGTCAAGTTTTAAATTAGGGTAAATTACACTTTATCACTCTAAACTACTACCTTTATTTTATTTTACACTCTTAATTATAAAATTTCTCACATTGTACCCTAAAGTATTAATTTTATTTCATATCACTCCAATAGATAACGACAAACTTGAAAATCTGTCAAATGAAGGAGGAGAATCCCAAAGGGTTTCCCGCGAAGTGCTTAGTACCACTTTATTTTACCTTTTTTGCAACCAAATAGTTGTTGGGAAGAAAAAAAAAAGTCGGCCAAAGGGAAAAAAAATTAGAACTTAGAAAGGGCATAGTCATGGATATGCATTTTTCTTAATTTTTGACCTATACATATGCAATATGCAGCTACGTATTAGCAACACAGACCACTCACATACGCATTTACCATAAAAAAAAGTGACATTCGTTATCAATTCGAGTGATATGAAATAAAATTGATATTTTATAGTGTAATATAAAAAATTTTATAGTTGAGGGTATAACGTAAAACAAGGATAATAGTTCAAAGAAATAAAATGTAATTTTCCCTTTAAATTACTTTAGGGATTAATTACGGTAAAGGTCCTCCAATATAAGAATTTTGTCATACTTTGCTATCGAATGTGTTAATTGTATCGAATTAGTCCCTAAATTATTAAATTTAATTTTAAGTGATCCCCTTTGTAAATTTCCATCAAACTTAGGTAGGAAAGAGAACCCTTGACCATGGCCTGGTATGGTGCCAAAAATTTTAGGTACCTATGTTGTTTTAGGTGACCAACTACTACTTACATTGAACCAAATCAACCAATCCCTTAGACACGTTGGAGACCCTTTTAACCATGACTCTTTAGTCTTTTCAAGTAATACACCCAGTTGTCAATTTGCATCCAACCACTTCTCACGCAAAGGAATGTGATCAAATCTGACCAACTCTACATAAGTAGTTTAGCGACAGGGACACAAAGGTAATCTAATTTTTTATACGGTACCGCGCCACTTATTTTTCACCAATCAGAATATGGCACGTGTAATATTTTTTTATATTTTGTTATTTTACTTCAACTTGTTATCGGGGGTCATGTAAATACAGTACTCGTGTGCAGATAAAAAAAAAAGAATTGAATATGGGAGTTGTAGTAATTAAATTCAATTAATCATGTATCAACGAGAATTACAGAACTCACAATTAAAAGTGCAAGTTCCATAACCTCTATATAAACGCGCACACACCCAAAGCTATCCAATGTGAGATAGTCCCATCCTCTGATCCACTTTAGGCCCGAGGGCCCCACCGATCGGGCAGCGAGACAGATGAGCCCAACAGTTGGATGCTGTGAAACCACACGCACAACTACCTTTCTTGTTTTATTAATAGTATAGATATTTTATTATTTTTTAGATCAATGGTTATAAATAAACTAACTCAAAATCGACGATTAAGATCTATTTTTCAGTATCATACCCTAATTTTTGTTTTTTGTAGGAGCAATCATCTAGTTTACGATATGCACTTCGCACACGCAAGATTGAATGTACATTATGTTAGAATTATGCCCGGACGTGTTTGACTAAAGGTCTTCTGTTGATTATATCCCAGGTAGACTCGAAGCATAATACAGACAAGTCAGCCCAAGTTAACCTGTGCGTGACGGTGCTGGGGGCTGCTGCTTGGTGATTCCAGGAAGGGGCATAGTGCAAAGTTTGACTTAAGCTAGAATTAGTCCGCCTTGCACGATGCGCGGAATTTATAGTAAAAAATAAAATTAATAGAGAAGGAAGATCTACACTCCCAATTAATTGGTTCGCTATAATAGATTAGAAGGATGTAAGAACAAACTTCTGGAATCAATAACCTTTCCTGGACAGCAGAGTGACGTTTTGGCTTCGTGTTTGTTGCATAGATTTTTTAAGCATACAATCACTTACAAACCAAGTGGGATCATCCACGAGCTCCCGATGAAAATACCTTCGGAGAATTCTTTTGCTCCGGCATGGCGCCGAGAGGCCAGTGGAAGCCTGTTTATATTACTCATCCACTTCCAAAAAGGAGAAAGAGATGATGCTGAGTAATCTTTTAATATAACCATGAGCATAAAACACACAAATATTTCAGATTACTCCCGGATTCCTTTATCCGGCCCGAAAAATAAGCCTTGCCCCGTCCAAACCTGAGCCCAGTGTCTTTAAAAAAAAAGGGTTTAGATTTGCCCCTAAACTCATTATCCAGCCCAAAACTCAACCCAATAACCCGCGAACAGACCCGCCTAAAAAGTACGCATGTTAGACTACAGGTAACTTACCCTACCCAAAGCCCAGTCCAGCCCGCCCAATAACTCATTTGAATAAAAGCTTGAGTTTACATTACTTAGGCCCGCCCCAAAAAAATTCACAGGCCTAACCCGGCCTGTCCCATGGACACCCTAAACATAGGGCAGTCCAAACCATGGCATAACCCTAAGCAAATTACAGCAAAACAAAAGGACCACACCCGCCCCCCACCGCACAGCAAGAAGATAAAAACAAAACAAAACTCACACCCAAGATCAACAAAACAGAGTCAGGCTCCTGCCACTGGGTAGGGTTGATATGAACAGTCTTCTGTAGTGGCATAGGGTCACCTCCCAAAAGAATAGAAAAAACCCATTTAATTGGGAAAAAACCTAATGAATAAAAAATACCCACCCACATATAGCACAAATGTAGATTAGGCACACGTCTCACATAAAAATTAGGTACATCAAGAGGCCATCCAAATTCGATGCAGCATATTACTGAATCACAAGAACCGAAATTGAACTTGTAACGAAATGTGGCAAAATAATGAGTCACAGAATCAAAGTAGAACCCTCAACAAAAACTAGTACTGAACACTTATGTCTCATAGAATACAAAACTTAGTTCTTAACCTGGTTCTTAAAACTATGAAACAGTAAAATCAGCCAAAAATCAATGCTGGAGAACTTGGGGAAATTTCATAACAGAATTCGGAATCCCATAAAATCTTATACCTAGGCGCTCTGCTTTTTCAACTTCGCAAGCTCTTGCCTGACCAAACCAGCCCTCTGCACATAGATATTTATGCAGAATATCAGCTAAAATGAATCACAATGTAAACTGAAACAAAGAAAGTGCAGAGAGTGAATCTTTTGACATAGTTTGGGATCCAATCAAACAACCTTGATCTTTGCCAACATGAGCTTGAACCTATCGAAATCATTAAGAGCGGCCCTTCTTTTCTGAACAATCAGCTTTCTGCCCCAAGAGCTGTTCTCCCACTTGTTCTTAACATCTGCCATCACAAAACACATCCAAATCTTACATATCATACTATATACACACAAAGAAGCTTGACACTCTAACAAGTACGACTACAGACCTGCAGCCTCCATCGCCGCAATCAGTGCCTTCTTCTTTGGGGTCCTCGTGATGTCAATTTTGATATCTGTGAGTGACAGCCTCTTAAAGTTCATCTGGCATCTTACCATGTCAGGGGCATCCACAAGAGCCTGTGAAGATTTAACATGAAATTTTCCAGGTAAGATGACGAACATACACTTTGCAGTAGCAGTAAATTTTTCAATGTTCAAAATTGCATGTATAAAGAGAAAGGGATATGCCAAAATACAAATATATCATAATAAGTAATATATCAAAAAATACCAACAAGTAAACGATTTAAATATCTGGGATCGATCAATAAAAATGATTGAGAGATTGGAGATGGTGTAACACTGTAACTCCTAGTATCAATGCCAATTGACTTGAGTGGAAGAAAGTATGTGATAGAAGGATACCAATAAAATTGGACAGAATGTTTTACCGAACAGGTATAAGAATAACAATGTTGTACGATACAGAATGTTGGGCAACTAGGAAAACACAGTAACAAAATAAGTGTAACAGAAATGAGAATGTTAAGGTGGATGTGTGAAAAAACTAGAAATGATAGAATCTGAAATGACCGTATTAGGGAAATGTTTGAGGATAAGTTGAGAGTGAATAAATTAAGATGGTTTAGTCATATTTAACAAAAGCCGATAGAGACACCGGTTAGAAAAAATGATAAAATTTCTTTTAATAATACTACGAATAGAGATAGGCCTAAATTAATATTAGGCAAAATAATAAGAAAAAATATGAAAATATTTAACTTAAATGAGTGTATAGCGCATGACTAAAATGAATGATAAATACGGACTCATATAGCCAACCCCAAATGATTCGAACATAAAGCTTGGTTGGTTGTCTGGTTGGTATCACAACAAGTAATATAAGAGAAATAAATGTGCTTTCTTGAAAGGATAAACGATTGGAACAACAATCAAATATCATATCCAATTTAGATGGTCAGCACCTATCAGCCCGAGTTAAAAACATTATCTTTCTTTGAGTTTTAAAACATGACAGAAAATTGTAACAGCTCAATGCGCATCATAGATGCTCACTATTTCAATGCCACAATTATATAGAAGATTCTGACAATCCTAATCAAGAGTCAACCATACTTTAAACCCATAGAATTAACGAACAAAACAAAGGCATTGCAACACCAATCCCCAGAATTTCGATTAATGAAATACTAGTTTACCATGCATCGTATCAATACAGTAAACAGCCTAAGCACCGTTTCGCTAAAACCCAACTGTTTACATTTTTTCTACAACGAAAGAACACGAAAAAGATCCAAAAGACAGTTCAAATCTGAGATGCTTATGTACACGTAACTGATCCTGAATACTTCTAGAAAAAAAAGGCCCAACTTTTTAATTTCCATTTTCATTAACCAAAACAGTACAAAATTTAAGTCCACGATTTTCATTCAAACTCCAGAATTTCCTAGGAAACCAAGAAAAAATTTCCAAGTCCACTCAAACTGATCCTAAGAGACCTTTCTAGCTAAAAGCCATGTATATTTTCAATTATCATAAACAAATCTCAAACTTTCTCAGCAACCAAACAGGAATGGTAAAGAAAGAGATAAATATTACTCTGTTATGGTCGATGACATCAACGATAACGACGAGCTTCCCATAGTCCTTCCCGTAGTTCACCAAGGCGACCCTCCCGATCTCAATGAAACGCTTGAACGGCTACAAAAAAAAAAAAAAAAAACCACAAGCACAAGCACAGATCATTCAATCAATGGCTGAAATGGTGTAATTTGACAGATGAAAGATAGAAAAACAAAGGCGTAGTTGAAGGTTAAGAGTTGCAGAAGATCTCACCATCTTTCAGGTCTGGAGTTGGAGACCAGAGAGGCGGGTAGAGAGAGAATGAAATGAGGAGAGACTGTTGGCGCTAGGGTTTTGGGATCATCTTTATAGGAGTGTGGAACGGAGTTGGGTTTTGGAGCGGTTAGTATCTCTAGCTGGGTTTGGGCATGCATGGACTGAATATTTCTGGTAGAGCTAACCAAACCCGACCCTATTCCAATAAAATTTTATGTTAAAATTTTAGGTTAAGATTTTTAATACTTGAATTGGCGTTAATATTCAGATTGAGACTTCTTGTTGGTATTTTACTCAGTGCCCAAACCCAAATTTATGAAATCGGGTTGAGCCTGTGTAAAATTTAGGTTTTAATTTTAGGAATAAATAAAAAAACTAAACTTGATTTTTTTTTTCTAATTTAATTTTGATTAATAAAAAACTCGAATATAATTTGAGTTTAACACAAATCACAATCTGAGTTATGTAAACCAAGCTCAACCCAAGTTTATTAGTGAATATAATTTTTAGTTGCGCTCAAATTGAAGTTACTCGGGTTAAAATTCAGGTTGGATTGAACTTGGGTTAAAGAGGTTATATCTTGGATTGAGTTTGAATTGTCCTTCAACCCACCCTAACGCCTGACTAATCAAATGGAGATTAATTCAATCGGATCCATTTCAAGTGTTCAATTATATATTTTTATTTTGATCTAACGAGACTAAATTAAAACTCTTAGACAAAATTTAAGGATCACTAGTTCTAACTTACATTTTTAGGCCCTATTGAGCTCGTTCATGGGGTTGGCAGTATTTGCACTTCTATTAAATAGATTAATGTTTTTTTTTTGAATATTGTACTTAAACAAATAGTAACTAGCATCTGATCCGTGTGATACATGAAATTTATAATTTTTTTTTAAGTTCACCATTTTTTTTCCATCTCAGTATTTAAGAAATTGAAAAAATAATAGGAATAATATAATTTTTAAAAACTAATATTTAAAAAATATTAAATAAGTAATGATTAATGATTAATCATGAGATAGTTTATGTTTAGTTATTCAAGATAATAGGTAGAATATGATTGGATAAAATTTATTGCTTGTATTTAACTAATTTAAATTTTTATTAATTAAAAAAAGAGAGAGAAAATACTTATGAAGCCGTCTCTTCAAAATATGAATTCTATAATAATATAGGTTTTCTTAAAAACCAAGATGCATAAACAAATTATATTTATTAATAGTTTATTAAAAACAATCCCTATACATTGTGCTCATAATTTTACTATGAATAAACAAATCTATAGACATTGCAAAAATAGAAAAACAAATCTACTCTAGTAGTAAAAGTAAAGAAGATGGTTTGATGTTCATATTTAAAATATTTTTTCTTTTTTTAGATTAATTATACACATAATTATTTATAATTACAAATAATTCCCCAAAAATTTATCTCTTATAAAACTCACGTTTTTCTCATTTTCTTTTGACATCGGTCTAAATTTTTTTCTTATAATTTTTAATTATTTAATTATCAAATTAAGTGGAAGGTAGCTTGAAAAGTCTTTCCTCCCACTTTCTTTTTTTCTTAAAATTTTTAATTATTTAATTATCACACATAGTTTTAATCGATTATATTCGTCTCATGTAATTACCCCTCTATTCCACTACTTCATTACCACTCATTTAAAAATTACCGACCTTACTTTTTCATAATTATTTTATCGCCCTAATTTTTTATAATTACTTGATCTAAATTTTTAAATAGTATGATGCTAATAGAAAAAAAAAAAAGAAAATGAAAAGAGGACCAAAAGGAAAAAGGGAGGTGTGCAAATTTCATGTATCATACGGGACGGTCGCTAGTATGTATATGTATATGTATATGTATACACCTTTGAGCTCTTCTCCAACATCCTATTTTTATGAGATTCAAACTTCTGGACACATATCCATCGCAGGTTCTTCATCATCATCCTCCTCTCAATTTCTTCAAATATTATATTTTTTGTGTTATAAACATGATATTTTACGTTAATGATACGCCATTGTTGCATGTTGATAGATCTGTTTGTTTGAATATCATCTGCAGCTGAAGTGTTTAGGAAAAGATCAAATCATTATAATGTTATCATCCTATTTTTTTTCCATATACAAATGCACATAACACTATGGTACCGAGAAAAGAAAAAAAAAAATCGGTTCCATACTGGAAGTCATCCTTAATTGTTGATCTTGATGCTAGGCATTGATCGTTAAAATAATAAAATAATAAAAACTTATTATATGTGTCATCAAGATTGGATTAAAAAAGGATGTACGATACTAAAAAAGTGTTTTTCGATACCCAAGTCTAACCCTATAAATGCATGCATATGAAGAAATATGAATGTGTTCGTAAGTTGTGTTATTTGTAATTTGTTTCTCCATTGTATGCATATTGCATATTAGAGATTGGACTACAATGTAAATACATAATATTTTTCTGGGTTTTGTGTAATGTTTTCTGGTATAAATTATTAGGGTTCTTATAAATTTGGGTTAAACTATATGGTAATTTTTGTTTTTGGTCATAAATGTAAAAGATTTTTTAATTTACACCGTGCAGATGTATATTGGTGTTTCATGTTCAATGTTATATCACAATTGAAATCAACTATTTTAACACAAAACAATGCATCTTTAATATGAGTAGAGAAAGCACTCAAAAGAGGTGGAGAGGAACCCGAAAAAAAAGATAGAATTGAACCCTAAAAACTCAGTGTCATTTACCTTTGACAAAAATTGACCCCTTAACCTCCAACTTGATTGTGTTATGGTTTCCATTTACAAACCTATGGTTTTTTCATCTTATTTTAAAGCATAAAGGCTCATGAAGAATGGGAAATTGATTCAATCTTGTTGCCATTAATCTATACCACTAAGATACTTGTTTGTGAATTTTGATTCTTACATGCAGTGAATTGAGAAAATGGAACTGTGTTTACCCCTGCTTTGGAGGAATGAAGCATGTCAAGTCTAAGCAAGGGAAATGCAAACCAGCCTTTCTTGATGTGTGCAAACACTTGCTGCCTGTTCTAGTGTGTTTCATTGCAATTTCAACTTGAACGAAAAACGCCTTCATTATGCATTGTCTCAATTTAGTTCAATGATTCATCACCCGCTATGAATTTAATACACATTGCGGGTGATCTAATAGTGAACGAAATCAAGGACAAGTGTATTGACAAATATTTGAATCCAATAGTAGTATCCTACTTTCAGCTACTGCATAATGGGGAAGTGGAATGCTTGATTCCTACCCAAAAAAAAAAAAACAACTGTTATCCTATCACTATAAAATGGTCTGAAAAATCTTTAAGCTTTGTGGCTGTGGTTGATCTTTTTTGTTCTATAATTCTTATTTAAGCTAACACTTCATTAAGAAGAAAGAAAATTCTATGTTTATATTGGAATCAATTTGCATTTTAGTTAATTCCCCCTGTTGATTTTTAGAATTTAAATTGTTTCTCTTTTTCACAAACGTGCAAACATTTACCAATTTTCATCCTTAATGTTTGTTAGTTTTTGGGTTGGATTTTGCAATGAATTGAGCTCGTTTAAATTTTGATACCAGATAAATTTGGGGCTGCTATGACGTTAGTGAAATCAGACGTCAGTGGTAATATATCGGTAAAGATATATTTTTCTCATTTATTTTCACTTGCATTTTGACTTGCATTCCCTGAATCACAACAAAAATGTCACTACAAGCTGTTAGATTGTGCTCATAATATCCAAGGTAAAGGTGATGCTGCTATAATATATGCATATAGACTTCCCCAGAAGTGATGTGAGGATGCAAATCCAGCTACACTGACTATTCAGCAGATAACATGCTTAAGCCTAGCCATGATTTCCTATTTGGTTTCTGCTAAATCAAGAATAATCAGGAGAAAAACACAACGGATGTTGGCCTTTTCAGGTCTATCGAATTTGCACTGCACATCTCCGGGTCATGTACAACAATCTGAGGCCAGTGTCATCTGGCTGGCTTGACGAGAGACACAAATTTTATCGCTAACCTCGCCAATAAATGAGGTTTTAGTTTTCTTACAACTTCAAGAATAGATTAATATGCAGTTCTGTGTCTAATTTGAAGTCATCCCAGCCAGAGATTCCTTTTGAAGAGGGGATAAATGTGGGTCTTGAAACATGAACAATTGAACCTTAGAGAATGGTAATAAGGACTGAAGATGAATACAGATGATAAAGATGGAACCAACATAACAGTTATAGGCCAAGCAGCACATGTCAGAAATGAAGTTCGGTTTGAAAAACTTCTATCCGTAATACTAATTAGATACGATAACAACTTATAAAATCTCATAAGGGTTTAAATCTGATAATATACCTTTTATGAGCATACATATGCCTCCTTACACAATGGTAACTTTAGAGAGTAGTTCCATATTACAGTGATTATTTTTTGCATTCTTTGGGTGAAGGTTTGAGAAGAAAATATCAAAACAAGAAAGGAAACGTCGTAATTCTGTTTTGAAATACTCTGGGTGATTTAATACTCAGACATGTTTGAACTGTCTTCACAGCACTCATCCAGCTTAATATTGATATTTTGAGCTATGTTGGATACCTTTTGCTTTGTCTAATCTGACTGTCACTTAGATCTTAACCTGCACTGTATACGCATCTAGAAGCAACAAATTATTTCTATTTTATTCCAGATCTAATCATTTTCATTGTAAAATATGGTAAATTGCCCTCTTTTTTTGTTGCAGAGGTTGGAAACTAAGTATTCTTCCAATCCATCCAGATTCCATTACTTGTACAGTTTGGTAAAAGCAGAAGTTGAAACAAACACAGCAAAATCATCATCAAGTTGTACAAATGGTCTTCTATGGTTGACAAGGTACATGACAAAAGAAAAGGGCTTGTTCTGTTTCTGAACCATTTATATTTTATCACATGTACGAATGCTCAGACATATATTCAAGGGATTAAAGAATGGAAAGTACCGTTAAAGATATGAGTGCCTTAAAGAGTTAGAAGTGCACAGCAATGCAATACCTTGCTGCTGAGATAAAGTATTCGGGCATTTTTGCAAACAAACTTTGAATGAATTATTCAATGTCAATTACTCACTGAAATAGTTTTTCCGGTATTAGTTTTAGATATATGATACCAAGTTCATAATTCTGCAGATCAATGGATTTCCAATTGGAGCTTTTTCGTAACTTAGCCCAGAATCAAGATTGGACAATGGCACATGCTTGTACCGATTCTTATGGCAAGACTTTGAAGAAATGGCATGGGTGGCTTGCTTATTCAAGTTTCACTGTAACGTCAGCCTTCTTCATCAAATCATTCAAGTTCTAAATTAAAAAACAAATGTTCAATAATTTAGAAGTTTTAATACATCAATCTGTTTTAGCAGTGTAACATATTTTTCAAACAAAAAACATTAGCATCCTTTGAATGTCTTCAATTGTCAATCAATGTTTCTAAGAGCTTAGTGAATTTGCTGGTTGAATTAAATGACATCAGTTATCTCCTGTACTATTACATGTGTATTTGTATCTTTTTAAATTTAATACTTATTTTTAATCTAAGACCTTTTGACTTTGTATACATACAATCACAGGTTTGTATCAAGCTTGTTCCTGATAGGAAGAAGTTCCTGGAAGTGATCAGGGGCACAGGGGATATCTATTCTGATATGGAAAAATTTAGCACAAACTTTTCACCACTTCTTCGAGATATCCACAAGTTTCTGGTAAGATGCTTGAAGCTGTTGAACCTTCTTTCAAAATCCAAAATTAATAATAATGTTGAGTTTTAAATTACTGGAAGGTTTGAAGTTTAGGAAATATAGAAGCAGGTCAAGGTAGACTCAGTTATTTGGTTATGACATTGTATAGTTTGAAGACAGATGCCTCCACTTCTATAGTGGCTTCAAGCAGGAAGATTTATTGTTGGGTGTGTAAGTCTTCTTCCCCCTCCCCCCACCCCCCCAACCAACACACACACGAGGGGATGGTTCACCTTAAATTATGACTAGGGGATTCTGCACATGGTCACCCTTGTGCATGATTATAAAAGAGTGAGATAGAGGTGAGGGAGAAAGATATGAGTGAGAGACCAAGAGAGATAAACCATATAGATTATTGAATACAGTTAATAGAGAGTAATGGGTAGTTAAAATGGAAACAAATAAGAGTACTATGGGTATTTTACATTCGACAAAACCCCTCCCTCTTCCTTTATAATAGTAATAGATAATACAAGAATTTGTGGGGAAAAAAAAGAGACTTATCTTTTGTTGGAGTATAGATAGTATAGGTTTATTAGGATTTCTTTTTCCTAGGTTTATTAGGATTTCTTTTCCCTTTAGGATTTCTTTTCCCTTTTTTACCCTTACTATGATTTTTATATTTTGCCTATATATACGGAGTTTTACTCTTAATTTGAGTATCTCCTTTTACTCACAATTATTTCAAGTTGGTATCAGAGCAAGGTTAGGGTTTAGGGTAGGGTTAGTGTATGGCTCTACCAGCCATACCGCCGAAACCACCCTGGCCATCAACTGCCTGAAAGTTGAATAGGAGAGGTTAAAGTGACGGCGCCGTCGCTGTCCGCCTTGATCAAGCCGTCGCTTCGTCTTGGCCCTCGTTTTTGCCCAATCTCTTCCGTTCAATTTTAGGCCTTAGTCTTGTACACTCTGTTGATCTGCCCTTGATGCAGTAGATCACTTATTTATATATTTTGGATTTCTGGGCACCGTGACTTGATTATTTGGGAGCTTTTTGGACCTTCCCTATTTGTCGCTACTGTTCGACTGAAGGTATATTGTTCTCCCTTATTTTATTCCTCTATTTATCTTAGAGTTATTTGGGAGCTTTTTGGACCTTCCCTATTTGTCGCTACTGTTTGACTGAAGGTATATTGTTCTCCCTTATTTTATTCCTCTATTTATCTTAGAGTTATTTTTCTGTCACGGGTGCCCTAGTATTGTTGTTGATATGGCTACTACTGAGGGATTTGAGAACCCTACTGTTGACACCTCTACCGTTGAGACATCTATGGGTACTTCCACTTTTATGTTTGACCAGTATACAGTGCCTACTAGCACAGTTGCATTACCAGCATTACCGGGCATGATCTCTCAAAAAGTTACGGCACAATTGTTGAATGGTCGTAACTTCGCTGAGTGGTCACGCTCATTCCAGTTTTTCTTAGGCCGTGTAGGGAAGCTTGGTTGGCTGACGGGATCTCACCCAAAGCCAGCTGATGCCGACCCTGGATATTCTGCATGGTTCTCTGAAAACTGTGTCATTCTTGGATGGTTATTTGGCTCAATGGAGCCCTCTGTTTGCAAGATCCACCAGTTTCATAGCTCTGTTCCGAAGCTATGGAGCGCATTATCAGAGATGTATTCTCAGTCAGGACGGGGAGTTCGTGTTTATGAGCTTTCTCAGGAGCTCTCATATGCTCGGCAGGGAGATATGACCGTTCAGGATTATTATGGCTATTTGACCCAGCGCTGGCTTGAGTATGAATCTCTACGTCCTCTTGCTGCTATTCCGAAGATAGAGCCCGAGGGAGCAGCATTCTTGCATACTCGAGAGCAGGAGGATAGGATTCACAAGTTCCTTATGGGGCTTCGTGATGAGTTTGAGGGACCTCGTTCTCAGATCTTGTCGATGTTGACACTTCCTTCTCTTTATGAGGTGTATGGGATGATTGAGCAGCATGAGCGTCGAGTCCGTATTGCATCACTTCCAGTTGCAGCTTTGCCTCCTTCGATTGACCAGATGGCCCTTGCAGCTGCTGTAGGGTCCCGTTCAGGATCCTTAGTCAGGGATAGGCAATGCTCAGACCAGCGCCGTCAGGGCGCCCCAGATCAGCGCAGACGGGGGGATTCCCGTCAATGTGATTATTGTGGCCGACCAGGACATCTCAGGGCTACTTGATGGAAGCTCCATCCAGAGCTTAAGCCACCTTCTCGCAGCATGATCGCCGTCCAGTTGATCGATATGGTTGGACCGCAAAGATTTTATATTCGATCTCTGCTTATGTTTCTTATGGTAATCTGTCTCCCACATTTCGAGCTTATACTATGGCCTTATCAGATACGCTGGTTCCTCGCTCTATTTCGGAAGCTATGCGGGAGCCCCAGTGGGTTCTTGCCATGCAGACAGAGATGGACACTCTTCAGCGTAATCATACATGGGATCTTGTCTCCTTACCTTCAGGGGTGAAGCTTGTTGGCTGTCGCTGGGTTTACACCCTGAAGTTTCTTGCGGATGGTACTATTGATCGTTACAAGGCTAGACTTGTGGCGAAGGGCTTTACTTAGGTACCAGGTCGTGATTTTGGTGCTACATTTGCCCCCGTGGCAAAATTGACTACTGTTCGGTTAATTATTTCTCTGGCTGCGGAGTACTCTTGGCCTCTTCATCAATTAGATGTGAAGAATGCATTTCTTCACGGTGATCTGGACGAGATTATTTATATGGATGCACCACCGGGCTTTCGTGGTGAGGGGGAGTATGTTGGAAAGGTATGTCGACTGCGTAAGTCTCTTTATGGACTGAAACAGTCGCCACGAGCCTGGTTCACTCGCTTCAGTGATGTAGTCATACGATTGGGGTTCACCAGGTGTCATTCTGATCATACCTGCTTTATTCGACGGAATACTTCTGGACAGTGTGTCATCCTTCTGGTATATGTTGATGATATTATTATTACTGGTGATGATGTTTCTGGGACTGCGCAGGTCAAGATAGACCTTGGGAAGGCCTTCGATGTGAAGGATTTTGGATTTCTGCGATACTTTCTTGGGATTGAGGTTGCCCGTAGAAGCAGAGGTATTGTTCTTTCTCAGAGAAAGTATGTTTTGGATCTTCTTTCAGACACTGGGATGTTGGGGTGCAAACCGACATTATCACCTATGATTCCAAACCTGAAGCTTACTGCTGAAGGTGAGGAGTTGAAAGATTCGACAGTTTATCAAAGATTGGTAGGTAGACTTATCTACTTAGCCAATACTAGGCCGGACATTTCATTCGCAGTCAGCCGAGTTAGTCAGTTCATGCATAGGTCATGTCAGCCTCATCTTGATGCAGTTTATCATATTCTTCGGTACCTCAAGTCTTGTCCTGGACTTGGGTTGTTTTATGCATCAGGATCTCAGACCGGTTCGCTAGCCTGTTATTCAGATTCAGATTATGGGGGAGCATGTGATGGTCGATCTACTACGGGTTCCTGTGCTTTTCGAGGGACTCATCTTATCTCTTGGAAGAGCAAGAAGCAGGCAGTTGTCTCCCGATCGTCCGCAGAGGCAGAGTATCGGGCATTGGCACTTGGCACATGTGAGATTATCTGGCTACGATCGATTCTTGACGAGTTGGGTTTTTCAGTGACCTCTCCATCACACATTATATTGTGATAATCAATCTGCTATTCAACTCGCTTCTGACTCTGTACTACATGAGAGAACGAAGCATATAGAGATCGATGTTCACTTTCTTCGGGAGAAGGTCAGCAGTGGTCCTGTTACTCCATCGTTTGTGGGGACCAGTGATCAAGTTGCGGATGTTTTTACCAAACCTGTCACTCTGTCTATTCTTCGGGACTCCGTTGTCAAGCTTGGCTTAGTTGACATTTTTGCGCCTAGCTTGAGGGGGAGTGTTGGAGTATAGATAGTTTAGGTTTATTAGGATTTCTTTTTCCTAGGTTTATTAGGATTTCTTTTCCCTTTTTTACCCTTACTATGATTTTTATATTTTGCCTATATATACGGAGTTTTACTCTTAATTTGAGTATCTCCTTTTACTCACAATTATTTCAAGTTCTTTATAATAGGAATTTCAGTTTTGGTTAATACATATTCTTTGGATGCAGGGTAGTGTTGGCTTGGACAGTATGAAAGCTTTATGATGAGAGAGATCTCCTTATGTGTAGCTTTTGCTTTTCTTCTCATTGGTGTCTTATGTCCCTCTCTATCACTTTTTCATGTATTCTTTTGTTTATTCTTTATTATTCTATTGTTATGCATTTAGACAAGAAGCAATACCAGCTCAGCAAAGTGTTCACTTCCTTTTCGCCAGGTTTCATTCAATTTGTTGTGGATTGGTACCAACCAAAGGAAAAACTTAAGGTATCAACAACCAAAAGTACATACATAGATTTTACTTTTTCAACACCAATACAGCAGCCTGCTTATAATATGTCCACAAAAAAGATTTAATCAGATGATGGCAGATACCTGATCATAATTACATACTCTGTATAATCGATAAGCACCAACCATTAGAGACCTTGTGTGCGGATACTTTTGCCAAAAAGGGAAATATTGTAACATGTCTATGGCTCTTCTAAAGCAACAACCAATGCTGTGTTCTTCTGAACATGATAATGGGCCAAAGAAAAGTGATCTTGGAGTGACTTCTTAGGAGGAACACTTCTTTTAACTGGTTTTTTTCATTTTCTTTTCAATCATATGCTTCAGGTGATGAATGGTAGTGGAATTTGGAATATACCTGGACCAGAATCTCCAGTTTCACACAATTTCTTGGAGTGTAGTGAAGTTGATGAAGTCATTTGAGTCAGGTCATGAAAAGAATGCAATCATCCTCAATGCCGTAACTAGCCAAACTTCGACCATCCTCAAGTTGTTTTCCAAAATACATAAACTTCTCGGCTTTAACTGGCATGTTCTTTTGATCAAGAATCATGTTCTTAACATCTCCGACAGTGTTATCTAGGCACAAAACAAGTCTTATGTTATCAAACAATCCCCATCTCCAACTCCGAACCAATATCTGAATTGTTGGAGGCAACAATTTTAAGATAGATTCTTCTTTGATGTCATAACAAGCTAAAGATTCTGAATCCTGAAGTATCTTTCCTGTATATATTAGAACCTGATCACTGACCGAGAACCCAACCATGCTTCCAACTATAGCTTTGATATCACGAACAG